AGCACCGCAGCCACTTGCGCCCGGGGCACCCGTAAGGGGCCGCAGCGGCGGCGACGGGGAGGAGCCGAAGCCCCACGCGAGGGTGGAGCTCCGAGCTCGGGCCTTCGCCGAGCCTGCGGCCTCGGCTCCCTCACCTGGTCCACGCTAGTGGCTGACATTCTTCACCGCACCCGCGAGCCGCCGCCGCCGCCTGGGCCTCTCCCCGTGCACTCACAGCAGTTGGAAGCCGCCCTCCGCCGAGTGGACCGTGCCCGCCGCCGCCGCTGCCGCCGCCGCCGCTCGCAGAGAAGCCGGAACGAGGGCCTGGCGCTCGGGAGTCGGTGGCAGGGGCCCGTCTCTTCCGCTTGCACGCCCGTCTTCCCCTCTCGCTCTCCGCTTCTCGGGGCCACAATGGCGGACAGACTCCCTGGTCTCACTTCCGCTCCGAGCCTCCCTGACCTTCCGCTCTCCACTCTGACGTCCGCGCTCACCTCGCGCTTCCTCCCCCGCCTCCCGCCACCGGCCTGGGCTCCGCCTCCGCACGCCACGTCACCGGAGACCGGAGCCGCGCGCCGGCCCCTGCGCGCATGCGCCACGGGGCGAGCGCGCCTGCGCGGCTGCGCGCTTCCACTTCCAGAGGCGCTTCCACCGCTTCCTTCTGTGCGTCCCCGAGAGTGCAGGGCGCGCGTGGGGCGGCGGCGACGGCGGCGGGATACCGGGCCCCACAGCCGGAGTCCGGGTCTTTCTGGCCGGAAGTGGGCCCGGGCGGGAGGCGCGGTCGCCGGGGACTGTAGTAGAGGCGGTCCGGCGGCGGAGTGAGCTCTGGCCGGTTGGAGCGCCGCAGGTGCGCCCGTCGGGCTGAGCCCACAGCGGTAGCCGGGCCTCCCCAGGAGCCTCCGGAGACTCCAAAGCCGCGTGCGTGGCCGGGTGAGTCAGCCGCCCTCAGGACGGACTTGCGGGGCCGTCGGCACGAGCCAACACGTGCAGCGAGGTGGCTGGGTGGGAGCTCTGGGCTCTTGACACCCAAAAGCAGCTGGGAGGTGCGCCGGCACGTGTTCGTTCTCGCCCAACCCCAGCGACATGATAGGCGTATCTCCCAGTTCGCCCGGCATCGGCGGAGCAGACTTTGCCACCCGATTCATGGACTTGTGTTCCCCTCCTGAGATGTTAAGTTGATTTTGATGAATAAAGATAACTTTGGTAAAGATGAAGTATCTTTGCCAGACGTTGTTTTCCGTCCTGAAAAGGAGGAGAATATGTTTAAAGTAATTGGTAAAGTTACTTTTCTGGAAATTGGCAAAAACCAAAGCACCGGCATGCAACATTTTGAAATTTGTTGAAATGATAGCTTTGCAAACAAGGCAAAGATTCCTTGCCTAACAGGAGTGATGTGGACGCTATTTAAAAAAAAAACAATTAAAATGCCTAAATTCTCCCAATGCTTGCATCAAGTAGGTGATAATTTAGAAAGTATAAAGTTGCTGAATTATAGGGTTAATTTTGTGGTTTACAACGCAACAAGATTTTGGAAGCACTGAATCATAGTCCTGGAACATTGGGAATCGGCTATTTCATATCAATCACCAGGAGGCACTTTCCGGTCCCATTTTGCCACGTGTCCCAGGGACTCGCCAGTTTTCAGTTCAGGCTGCCGCTCTGGCCATTTCCCAAGACTTCCTCACCCTCCCAGTGGTTGATCTCTATCTCTCCAGCCTACCCTGTTTCACTCCCACACAGACCTTGGGTTGATGGATTGGTTTCCCTCACCTGAGGACATGCTTAGAGAGAGGAATCCACCGACGGAGCCAGTCTGGCTGGGCCCATACAGACCTGTTTAGTTTGAGAGAATTGGCTACTACAGGACAGGTTATGAGTGGGGGAATTTGAAATCATAAAAGGAAGTTTGTGAAATTTTTCAGGCCGTGTCTTTGATCCTTATTTACCTAAGTTAAAAAGCATGGCTTTGGAATCCAACCAGTCTGAATTCTGGCTGGGCTAGAATTCATTGTGAAGCCTTGGGAAAGTCATTGAAATGTTCTAAGCCTTCGTTTGCCCATGAGTAAAACAAAGGGCAGCTATGTATAATTTCCGGCATAGAGTAAGCTTTCAACCAGCAGAGGTTATACAGGACTAGTTTCTGGCTCCATTGCTAAATAATCCCAGAATGGTGGTATAGCTTGCATTCATTCAGTGTCCATTACGTTAGGCCAGTGATGGCGAACCTTTTGAGCTCGGCGTGTCAGCATTTTGAAAAACCCTAACTTAACTCTGGTGCTGTGTCACATACAGAAATTTTTTTATATTTGCAACCATAGTAAAACAAAGACATATTTTTGATATTTATTTTATATATTTAAATGCCATTTAACAAAGAAAAATCAACCCAAAAAATGAGTTCACGTGTCACCTCTGACACGCGTGTCATAGGTTTGCCATCACTGCATTAGGCACTGTAATAATCACTTAGGTCCTCATCGCATCCTTGTGTGTTAAGTGCTATTATAGGAAACTGACACGCATTGAGGTTAAGGAACATGCTCAGAATGGCACAGCTAGTGACTGAGAACCAGGATTTGCACACAGGCAATCTGGCTTCAGAGCTTATACTCCAGCCACTAAATAATGCTGGTGAGTTTCTGTTCACTTTCATTCTTGCCCCTCAGACTCCTTTCTTCTTGTGAGTTCTGAACTTGCACAATGGAGCGCCAATTGCCATGAGATATAAACCCATTTAATTTAATATTAAATACTTTTTCAAAGTACATCTGGGAACTACCTAACACCATCTCCAGCACATTGTTCTAATATTCGGTCTAATATGCAGGTGGTATTTTGGAAACTGCTGATCTAGAGATTAGACAAAATTTCACTCTTTCTCAGGGCTGCTGGTATATCAGCCCCCTGATGAGCACAGCACTGTTCCCAGCTTGGAAAGGAGAGAGCAGACTGAGTTTACCCTTCAATCGCTTTGTGCCTTTATCCAGTGACTTTTCATTCTTACAACTCTACACAACGGCACTGTGCTTCTGCATGACTCCATGTATCAGATCAAATTAGGTTCAGCTGCAGGTAGTCAGTCCAAGGCTTGGGCTGCTGTCACAGTATCAGGGATTGGGCTTCCAGCCTCTTGCTCCACCATCCTCATGATAACATTTCCCCCAATACAAGATGGTTGCCCAATCTCCAGCCCTCATAGTCACATTCCTACCTGGAAAAAGGAAGATGAAGAAAGGCACATACATGGCTTCCCTTTAAGGACATTCTATAGAAATTGCATTTCCTATTTCTGCCTACCTCCTGCTAACTAGAACACAGCCTTAAGAAAATACCTTGTTGAAGGAAACCTGAAGGTTATATTCTGGTATGTTCGAGGTTGCCATGTGCTCAGCTAAAAATCAGAATGTTTACCATTAAGGAAGACTGGAACAATAGATGATGAGAGAGGAAATATTACCGTAAACTTTGTTTTCTCACAACTTAGACTGGGGATATGGATTTTGGAAAGGCACTTTGGAACCCAAGGAATGTAACTTTATGCAAATAAAGCCCTTTTCCACATCTCATTCTCCCGTGGGGGTTTCTGAAAACTCTTAGGTACCCTAAGAACCTCATTCTCACGAGTGATGGGGAAATTTGACTCTCCGGTACCACTTTCTCCCATATTTATATTATTATTTAGGTTATATAACCCAGTACTGTCATTATGTTGTTGTTTAAATTGTTCCAAGCTTTGGCTATCAGGAGAAAAGGCTGTTTTTTGTGTCCTTTTGACATGCCCCCATTCTTTTTTTTCCCCACCCTCCCACTTTGGAGCACATTTCATTCATTTCTCATGTTTAGTCCAAGAAATTTACAAAGACATGGCAACTTCCTAATCCAGCCTCATCATTTCTCATCTTGACTAATGCCTCTGAACTGCTTGCATGCTCTCCCATCAACCGTCCTCCACCCTGCTGCCGATGGTTAGATCTTGTTGCCATACTTCCCTCCTTAAAACCCTTCAGTTTCCCTTCACCTAGAGCAGTTGTCTCCAAATGTCATTCAACTCATACCCTGAAACGGAAAAGCAATTTTGAGCATCATTCCCAGTACAGCAGATTTTATATTTTATAATTTATGGTTTGCATTATTGTTCTAATATTAGGTCTAACAAATTACATCATAAGAAAAATTAAAAAATAAACTGAACATAAAAATTACAATTTTTCTTGCACTCTAGAGTACCGTATTGAGCACACTCTGTAGACTTCTATAACTGCTCATGTTCTCCCCTCCAAATCCCATACACATATGCCCCTACTTTCTTGCTGAAATATATCACTTAGAATTCTCTCAACATACCGAATTCATTCTTGACTCTGTATCTTTGCACAGGTTGTTGCTTCTGCCTGGAAATCTTCTTACACTCCCATTCCCCCCGAGTCCTCCTTTGAGTAACTCATTCACCCTTCAGGGCTCACTTTAATTACTATCCTCAAGGATACCTTCCTGGCTCCTCCCAGATAGGGTCAGATAGTGGGCGCCATTTATGTTGCCTAGGGCCTTTACTAGTCTTTTAGCTCCTTGAGGATAAAGATCAGGTATTTCATTTTTCTGTCAATCATTGCCTAGCATACATAGTACTCAGCACATAGTGTAACATTACTTTCAGCTGAAAATAACTTGACCAAAGGTAGTTTGGTGGGCAGCAAGCCAGACAACATGTCATTTTGGTTATGTGGGTGGGTTTGTAATGTTTTATGCATCTTTAAAAATTGTTGTCCATCCCCAGCACTGTCCCCCCCAACCCCCAGTACAGGATTGCACTTGTTTTATACTAATTTATTTTCATCTAACTTTTTGAAAAAATATAGATTAAGCTTTAGTTGATTTTGGAGAAAGAGAAAGAGAAACATCAATTTGTTGTTCCACTTATTTATGCATTCATTGGTTATTCTTGTATGTGCCCTGACTAGGGATCAAACCTGCAGCCTTGCTGTATTGGGGCAATGCTCTAACCAACTGAGTTATAGTTTCATCTAATTTTAACTGGTCTTCATTATTCATCATTTCAAAAATTTGGTATAATCTATATGTCCAATAATTGGTAAATTGCAAAAGAATATGCATGATATTAGATTGTAGAAAAATAACATAAGCTTTATCTATATATATAAAAGGCTAGCCATAACCGGTTTGGCTCAATGGATAGAGCATCGGTCTGCGGACTGAAGTGTCCCGGGTTCAATTCTGGTCAAGGGCATGTACCTTGGTTGCAGGCACATCCCCCGTGGGGGGTGTGCAGGAGGCAGCTGATCGATGTTTCTCTCTCATTGATGTTTCTCTCTATCCCTCTCTCTTCCTCTCTGTAAAAAAATCAATAAAATATATATATTTTTAAAAGGCTAATAATCAAAGTGTCCCCTTGGGAATTCAACCAGGAGACAGAATTCGATCACTTGCTATGACATGCACTGACCACCAGGGGGCGGCGTAGAGCAAAGGAAGGCCAGGATCAG